TACTGCTCAGATTGCAGTACATATTACTCCCTCTATCCCAATTTATGGCACACTTTTTCAACCTACCCGAGGTAAGGAAGTAAACACTTTACTTTTTAGTCTGTCCCAAAAAGTGTCACCTTTCTATATTTAGAAATGATTTAATTTTAAAATTCTCATTTAATCCTTGATGACATGATTTACCGTCACACAAATACCTGAGGTTTGTTTTAGACCACAGGTTTCAAAAGTCTTCTTTCTTTCTTAAACTCCGTAACTTGAGTCAAATGGTACCGCATAAATTGGAGAGGGAGTATTCTTTTTTAATTTCTTGGTTTCGTGTGTATATTAGGATCTCTACTATATTTTTTCCCTAGTTATTTTAGGATCTCTGTTCTCTTGCTTTGTTTTCTTTCCATTTTAGCTGTTCTTCGTCAGCAGTGATTAAGAGTTCTAGTTTAGGATTCCAGTTTTTCCATTATTTAAACGATTTTCTCATTATTTTATATGGACATTGAAAGTAGTTTTATTTATTTTTTGATAAATTAATACTGTTTTCGTTTTATCACTAGTTTCTCTTGGTTTTTATGATGTCAATTATCACATTTTCTTATTTGTTACTTCCCCGTCACCAGGGTGTGTCAGGGAACAAACAGGCATAGATCATCAATTAAGAAGTTGCTCACTCTAGATTCTATCTTGCTAGCCCAGCCTACTACTCTTCAAATGCTACTGAGAGGACTGCAGTCTTCTCTGATTCTGAGATTTTTTTTGGAAAGGAAAATGCTTCCAGATGAAAGTTTTAATCTTGTTACACCAAAACCGTATCTGTATCTGGACCTTAGTGTCCAACTAAGCGACCCTCACAGAAATGTCATCCTGCAGATGACATAGTAGATTAGTAGCTTGTCAAATCTTTCCTTAAAGAGCTTGTTGTGGTCCAAATTCTTTTGTTGCCCTCAGTCCTATTTTATCTGTGTTTAACTTGTTGCAGAGATTAAAAGATAGTTTGACTAATGTGATGTACTTGCAGAAGTAAAAGAATGCATTTTACTTGGTTTTTTGTTTTCACAAAAGAAGGATTACTTTATTCAAAAAACATCGACTACTTGAGTTGGAATGCTTGAAAGCTCTTTGAAGAGCTGAAGTAACAACCTTGGAAACCAAGGTTCGAATTCTAGATGTGGCAACATTAGGTGAATTCTTCCTTATCTACTTAATGCTTTAACAGGCAGAATTACCCAATACCTGTGTTGGTGGAGGTAGTATGTATTCAGTGGAACATCACAGCTATAGGAAAAAGGAGCTGTTCTTATAATTGAGATGTTTTCCAATTACTGTAAGATGTCCCAATTTGGAAAGTTTTTAACATGAAATAATTGGAATAATTAATAAATCATTGAGTGGATGAGGTACACCATATATTATTCCTGAAAACGTCATGCTTGTGTATGGCAAATCCTGATTTTAAACATCTTCCTATGTAGTTCTTCAGCGAATTGGGTTTTGCAAGTTGTTGCACTTTTCTTTTTCGTAGATCCTAATAGAAACAAAACTAATATTAGATAGGCAGTCCAGTTACTAAAAATTGAGTGGTCATTGTTTTTCGGAAAATTTATTTTACCTGAATTTGTGTCTGTTGTGCTTGTTGAGAGCTACATGTATACACTTATGTTATTCTGCACTCTGCCTACGTAGTGTTTGGCTAACAAATCACAATTTTCATTTTACCATTTTAACGGGATCAGGTGGCTTCGTCTTTGAACTCCTCATATTGCTACATATTACACAGTGGCTCCTCTGTCTTCACATGGACTGGAAATCTTACCACCTCTGAGGACCAGGAACTTGTTGAGAGGCAGCTGGATCTTATCAAGGCAAGTTGTCATATGATGCTTTCTCATTGTGAACATGTATTACTTGACCTTTATCTGCAAGCTACTAAGGAATTATGCTTGGTAGTCTTTACTGTTAGAATAGTTATGTGAATGTATGTAATTAATCCTAATCCCTTATTTAATAGGAGTAGGTTATGTATTATGTATACATATAAATAGAGCTTATTGTAACATAGAAAATTAATCTGTAATATTATTTTCCCGTGTCATATTTCTCACATGTATCAGAGCAGCAGTGAGAAAACATTCGGGAAAGAAAACTCACTCAAAACAGTCGCCGTGCTTCACTTCCGGCGACCAACCCGTAAAAATTTCTCCGGCAGACCCCTTCCCACGTGCCCTCATGCGCCGCCGGAAAATATTTTCAAGCTAGTCTCCGTCGTCACGCGCCGGCGCGTGAGGCTTCTTCCGGCCATTTTTTGGCCGACCTTCTTCAGGACAGCCTGGTCGCACAGCAATTCCGAGCCTACCCATACTTTTTTCTTTTTATTCCGATCACTTTGAGATTTTCCGGCAACTACACTGACTTTCCGGCAGCTACAGTGATTTTTTCCGACAACTTTTTTGGACAGCTTACTCAGGAGGTTATTCCGAGTCTTTTCGTTCAAGTTTAAATCAAATTCCGACCACTTTTATACTCTTCGGCGCAACATTATAATGGCATTCATATCAGAAGCCTTTAACTCACAATCCGTTGGATCCATTCCAGATGGTTTCATTACCATATTATATTGAGTTCCTTCAGTACAAAGCACGTAAACAGACATCTTCAGGATTAGCCTCCGTTGTTCCAACAGACAGTAGCGTGACTTTGTGTCTCCCAATCTTCAACCTCCGAGTCTTGGGTCATTGATTCAGGTGCATCTGATCATATTTCTGGTAACAAATCTTTTGTCACTAGTATTTCATATTCTCAATCTCTTCCAACAGTTACAATGGCCAATGGGTCTCAAGCCATGGCAACTGCAATAGGTCAAGCAAGTCCACTTCCTTCCTTACCTTTAGACTCAGTTCTTGTTCTTTATGTTACTGGTAGTCCTTTTAATCTCATAGCCGTTAGTCGCTTAGCCAAATCACTTAAATCTGCTGTTTTATTTCTTGGTGACCTTGTTTTTATACAGGAACGTAGTACGGGGCGGATCATTGGTTCCGGATGTGAATCAGATGGACTTTATTACCTTATCCTTGCAAAATCACATGGACTCGCATCTTGTCTTCCTTCAATAACTTGTCCCATTACTGATTCACCAGATTTATTATATAAACGGTGGGGACATCCTAGTTTGTCAAAACTTCAGAAAATGGTACCTGGCTTATCTCACTTGTCCACTCTAGAGTGTGAGTCATGTCAGCTCGGTAAGCATACCCGCTCGCATTTCTCACTGCGTCTTGATAATCGAGCAGAGTCACCGTTTACTTTAGTCCATTCAGATGTTTGGGGTCCTAGTTGGGTTAGTTCTACTTTGGGATTCCGCTACTTTGTCAGTTTTCATTGATGATTATTCCAGGTGCACTTGGATATTTTTGATGAAAAATTGATCTGAGTTGTTTTCTATTTTCCAGACTTTTACACGCTGAAAATCAAAATCAATTTGGGGTTTCTATCCGCATATTTCGTAGTGATAATGCCCTAGAGTATTTGTCTTCCCCATTTCAGCAGTTTATGAACTCCCATGGGATCATTCATCAAACATCTTGTCCGTACACATCCCAACAAAATGGGGTAGCTGAAAGAAAGAATAGACATCTTATTGAAACTGCTCGTACCCTACTCATACAATCTCATGTTCCGCTGCGTTTTTGGGGGATGCAATTCTTACATCTTGCTATCTTATTAATCGTATGCCATCTTCAGCTATCCAGAATCAGGTTCCATTCGCTGTCCTGTTTCTCCACTTACCTTTGTTCTCTCTTCCACCCCGTGTCTTTGGAAGTACGTGTTTTGTTCATGACCTTACTCTAGGAAAAGATAAGTTAGCTCCTCGTGCTCTTAAGTGCATATTTCTGGGTTACTCGAGAACGCAAAAGGGATATCGATGTTATTCTCTTGACCTCCAGCGGGTTTTTATGTCTATTGATGTTACCTTCTTTGAAACCCAATCATACTTCACAAGTCCAGTTAATCACTGACATTTCTGAGGTGCTACCAGTTCCGTCTTTTGGAGATTCAGTCACTATCTTCCATTCATCTTCCTCTATAGATCCAGTCGCAGCTCCACCACCTATAGCTCCAGTTGCAGCTCCACCACCTATAGCTCAAGTGCCACCACCTAGTCTAGTTCAACCTTCTACAGCTCCACCACTGCTGACTTATCATCGTCGTCCGCACCAGCATCAGGCCCGGTTGATTCACGTCCTGCACCTGACCCTGCTAATACTGTGCCTCTTAGTCAACCGATTGCACTACGAAAAGGTATACGGTCCACACTTAATCCTAATCCCCACTATGTCGGTTTAAGTTACCATCGTCTGTCATCATCCCATTGTGCATTTGTATCATCTTTGTCCTCTGTTTCCATCCCTAAGTCTATAGGTGAAGCACTGTCTCATCCAGGGTGGCGACAGACTATGATTGGCGAGATGTCTGCTTTACATACGAGTGGCACTTGGGAGCTTGTCCCTCTACCTTCGGGCAAATCGACTGTTGGTTGTCGTTGGGTGTATGCAGTCAAAGTTGGTCCAGATGGCCAGGTTGATCGACTTAAGACTCGTCTTGTTACCAAAGGGTATACTCAGATATTTGGACTCGATTACAGTGACACTTTCTCTTCCGTGGCTAAAATAACATCAGTCCGCCTTTTTCTATCCATGGCTGTTGTTCGCCATTGACCTCTCTATCAGTTGGACATTAAAAATGCTTTTCTTCATGGTGACCTTGAGGATGAGGTTTATATGGAGCAATCACCTGGTTTTGTTGCTCAAGGGGAGTCTAGTGGCGTTGTATGTCGGTTGCGCCGGTCCCTCTATGGTCTAAAGCAGTCTCTTCGAGCCTGGTTTGGTAAGTTCAGCACAGTTATTCAGGAGTTTGGCATGACTCGTAGTGAAGCTGATCACTCTGTATTTTATCGACATTTTGCTTCAAATCTTTGTGTTTATCTGGTCGTTTATGTTGACGATATTGTTATTACCGGCAATGATTAGGATGGTATTAGTAAGTTGAAGCAACATCTCTTTCAGACTAAGGATCTGGGCAGATTAAAGTATTTTCTGGGTATTGAGGTCGCTCAGTCTAGCTCATGTATTGTGATCTCACAACGGATGTATGCCTTAGATATTCTTGAGGAGACAGGAATGACAGGTTGTAGACATGTTGACACTCCGATGGTTCCGAATTCTAAACTTCTACCAGGACGGGGGAGCCTCTTAGTGGTCCTGCAAGATATAGGCGGTTGATTGGTAAATTAAATTACCTCACAGTGACTAGACCTGACATTTACTTTCCTGTGAGTATTGTGAGTCAGTTTATGGATTCTCCCTGTGATAGTCATTGGGATGCAGTTGTCCGCATTCTTCGGTATATAAAATCAGCTCTAGGCAAAGGCTTATTGTTTGAGGATCGAGGCCATGAGCAGATAGTTGGATACTCAGATGCTGATTGGGCAGGATCACATTTTGATAGACGTTCTACGTCTGGATATTGTTTCTTAGTAGGAGGAAATTTGGTGTCTTGGAAGAGCAAGAAACAAAATGTGGTTGCTCGGTCTAGTGCAGAAGCAGAATATCGAGCAATGGCTATGGCGACATGTGAGCTAATTTGGATCAAACAGTTGCTCAAGGAGTTGAAATTTGGTGATATTAGTCAGATGAGACTTGTGTGTGTTAATCAAGTTGCTCTTCATATTGCGTCAAATCCAGTGTTCCATGAGAGAACTAAACACATTGAGATTGACTGTCACTTTGTTAGAGAAAAGATACTCTCGAGAGATATTGCTACAAAGTTTGTGAAGTTGAATGATCAGATTTTCACCAAGTCCCTCACTGGTCCTCGTATTAACTACATATGTAACAAGTTCGGTACATATGATTTATATACACTAGCTTGATGTATACATATAATTAAGGCTTATTGTAACATAGAAAATTAATCAATAATATAATTTTCCCGTGTCATATTTCTCACATTTACATTTAATGTTTATTTGTTGAAACCTGCGTAACTCGTTAACTTGCGACTATGTTTTTGGACTCGGTTGTGGGTACTTGATCCGAATGCAGATATAGAGGTCGGATTCTTCATCACATGAATTTAGGATCAGGGGTATGGGTCCGAGTGTGGATATAGGTGCTGGGATACGACCAATAAATGTAAATTACGACATATATAAGTATATAATGCGATTAATTAAAGTTATTTAACTACACTAATAAAATTTCGTTCCTTCTAAACACTTAATATTCTATTCATAAGATACTCGTGTAATATAGCATAACGTTCAGATACTTCATATAACTTTATATATATGACATGAACCAAACTCAAACCAAATACCCAATTAATCTATACTTCTTGGTCATAGATGTAGTCAGAGCACCCAAAAGTAACTTGACCAATCCAGTGTGGATCCCACACCCACACCTAAATCATGTCAAGTCGACACAGGTGCGACAAGGAATGTGAAGGGTCTGAGCATTGAACCAGTTTTGTGCTCTCACTGAAGCATCTTGGTTCTCTTCATAAAAAACAAAAAAACAAAAACTGAAGCATCTTGGTTCTATTAATTATGCTATATCCTTGTCTTATTTGTCACACACAATGTGCAGCCTGATATGCAGTCGAAACTGCAAAAAGAAGGGGCAGAATCTGAGCAATTTTGGGAGTTATTGGGTGGAAAATCTGAATATCCTAGTGAGAAGATTGGACGGGATGCTGAAAGCGATCCTCATTTGTTCTCGTGCACCTTCTCAAAAGGTAAGGATTCTCACTTTCTTTTTGTTTTTATTTTCAGAATCTTTTACTTAAAGAATAGATCAACATTTTTGCAGTAATATGGTTCTTTGCTTTTAGTAGTTCAACTAATTTAATTTTCTTCACTTCTCCATTTCTTGGCTACTGGAATTTGACTTGATCTCCAGGGGATCTAAAGGTGAGTGTTCGGATGGACTGTTCTTTTTATCGCTCAAATCTTCTTAGACTTTTGCAGTTTGTTGTTTTGCCTAATTACTTCGTGAGAGAGGAGGGGAAGTGATAAAATACAATGGTCACAAGATACACACTGTATCCTATTACAAGTAGCTTGTGTATATAATAGATAGTTATTAGACACCTTAAGTGACGAAGTGTGGATGCCCACTTATCATCAAGTCAACACTAACGGAAAAATTCTAGACTTCACTTTGACTTGATTCTCTTAAAACTTGTCCAATGTGACAACTCACCTCTGTATTACAGGTGACAGAGATCTACAATTTCGACCAAGATGATTTGATGACAGAAGATATTTTTATCCTTGATTGTCATTCGGATATTTATGTTTGGGTTGGCCAGCTGGTAGAGTACAAGAATAAAATGCAGGCTTTATCCATTGGTGAGGTATGCCTTCAACATTTTATCTAGGAAGTTCTTTCATTACTAAGGTGATTATGAACTACTAAATATAAACTTCCGCATTTATTTGTTGGTGAGGTTTACTTTAGGTTGTTAATCTGAGTCTTCAGAAAATTGGATTGAGCATGTTATAGGATTATCCTGGTATGTACTATTCAGATAGGACATGCCTTGTTTGAATTCCTTGAATGACTGGAAGTTTTAAGGGATAAACCCTCAGTTTGTTCTGTAAAGAACTGATGGAGTACCAAAATTAGGTTTTGTTCTTTGTTGCAATTTAAGAAGAATGTCGAGAGAGCTTAGATGATGAAACTCTCTGCTGTTGAGGAATCTATGAGTTGTAATTTCGCAATGCATCGTAGCAAGATAAATTTGCAATGCAAATGATTTTTTATTTTTTTTAAAATTCAAAATAATAAAAGCAAATTGGTTAAGGGATTTGTGACAGGATATATGGAAGTCAAGAAAATGGTTCAATAGCAAAAGTATTTATAATCATTTGATCTAACGAGAGGATGAGCATAGTAAGAAAACAAACTTTCATCGCTTGACACTGCTTCTTTGAGTAAACAAGAGAGAGATAGGGGAGCCTCAAGGAAAATATTCTAGTGATTGAATCGTGATTGAAAGGGAGCTGAAATTAGCTTATCAATTACTAGCTTGAGCTTCTCAGCTAACAGCTTAACAATAATTTTATAAACATTTCCCAACAAGCTAATGGGCATGAAATCTTTCACCTTGACTGCTCCCTTCTTTTTTGGAGTTAATGCAATAAAAATAGCATTTAAGCTTTTAACAAAGGTATCTCTCTGATGAAATGGTTCCACAGTCTTCCAAACATCATTCTTCACAATATTCCAACATTTCTGAATGAAGTATAGATTAAAACCATCTGGGCCAAGAGCTTTGTCACCTTTGAAAAACTTGATTACAACCTCCAACTCTTCCATCGAAAAGGGTCTTTGCAGCCACTCTTTATCATCTTCAGAAAGCCTCTTTAGATTTTCATTTTCCCGGGTTGGCCTCCATTCTTCTGTTTCTCTGAAAAGATTTTCATAAAAGCACTGTATATGGTCCTTTATGAGTTTCTTATCATCATTCAGTTCCCCATCAATTACCATCTTATCAATGCAATTAAATCTTTTATGGGCATTGGCTGGTTTATGGAAGAACTTTGTATTTCTATCTCCATGTTTTTAGCCATAGACACCTAGACTTTTGTCTCCATGATATCTCCTTAGCTTTTGCTACCTCCTCTAATTCCCTTTCAATAGAGTTTCTCTTTGTCTCTATCTGCTCCTCATCTTGATTGATTCTTTGTCCATGATCTATCGCTTCCACTGGCCAATGCCTTATTCTTCTTCTAAATATCCAAACACTTCTCTGTTCCATTTTTCAAGATCACTTTTCAGCATCATTAATTTCTTGGCAAGTGTAGCATCTGGTTCACCTTAGATATTATAAGAGCTCCACCAATTCTCTTAACTGTTAAATAAAGCCCTGGTGTTCGAACCACATATTCTCAAACTTGAAGTATCCTTTTCCTTTTCTCCATTCCTCACACCCCAGAAGGATTGAACAATGATCAGAGGTGGTTCTGGGGAAAACCCTCTGTATCACAAACTTGAAATGTTCATCCCAACCTTCTGATACTAAAAATCTGTCTATCCTGGAAGCACACTGACTGTTTCTTCCCCTAAACCATGTAAAAGCATCCCCATGAAGAGGCAGATCAATCAGAGACAGATCATGAATGAACTTTGAAAAGCCTCATTGCTCTTGTATTTCTGGCCCTCCCTTGCTTCTCCTCTTCAAATCTTATCACATTGAAGTCTTGCTCCACATTTCATGGTTGTGTCATAATCCCATTAATTGCGGCAGTTTCCCTTCATAGTTTTTTCCTCGTTTTCTTGTCGACCATAAACTCCTTTAAAAGCATATTGGAGCCCAGAAGTAGCTTCTTCCAGCATAATAGTTACTGAATGCTGTCCCAAATATTTCTCCAGGCAATTCCATCTTCTTTTGTCCCAGAAAATAAGAATCCCACCACTGTTCCCTTGTGCTTCCAACCCTACCCAATCAGTCCATCTTTAGCCTCCAATCTGACTGATACAAGAATGATATATACCCTCCATTTTTGTTTGTCAGACAAACAATATCAGCATTCGACTTCCGCAACAGAATGTTCACCATGTCCCTTTTATCTTTGTCATTTAGACCTCTAACGTTCCAGCATATGACTTCAAATTCAGTGATCAATTGTCAAAGGCCTCCTACCCTTAACTCTGCTCCCTTTTCTTGCCTTTCCCCCAAAGCCCATCCCCAACTCAAGAAGCTTCATCTCCCTTCATATTTTTTGTTTGCGAAGTAAAGAAGGAGGAGGAGGAGGAGGAGGAGGAGGAGGAGGAGAGAGAGGTTTCTTGGGTCTAGCATTTTCAACTCGTAAAAGGAGCTCCATTAGCTTGTCTTCAACATCAACTGATTTTATCCCCAGTTGCTTGCTGATTTTTAGCATGTTCCTTTTCGCCCTCCTTGAAGCTTCAATTTGATTGAGTGGAAGTAATAAGGCCTTTACTGAAGAATTTCAGTATAAAGTTTGGCATCTTGAAGAAGATAGAATGTGAATTGAGAAATAGCTGGAGAATGTGACATTGAAAGAGCTCTTCCCAGATTTGTTCAGCCTTGTCTTTTATAAAAAATACACTATGGTAGACTGCTACCCAAAGTAGCTTGTTTGTTGGACTGCAGCACTTGGTGCTTGTCTGAAACAAGATAGTATGTGGAAAAAAAGCCAAAAAGAGAAGAAAAAAGGAAGAAAAGAAAAAGATTAGGCCTCAAAATCTGCAGTTGATGTTTTCTTTGTGAAGATTCCACTGGATCAATCGGCCACCTCCTATTGTATTGCATGCAGAATTGGTAAATTTGAATAACATTTTTCTGTTTAGAGTCCAGTTGGTGATGTCAGAAGACTTGAAGTACTCAACAAGTGGTTGGGAGAAGAGTTAGCTATGATTTAGAGACAAATCTGGAAATGATTTTGTTATGTATCATTTGGAAAATTTGGATAGAAAAGAAATAGTAAGTGTTTTGAGGGGAAAAAGGACTACATTTCTTTTGTACAGTTTAGATGTCTTTGAAATTTTGGGCTTTTGCTTTAGGATGAATATGGTAAATGATATAGCACATATTATGGACTTCTTAGATTCTTTCAATCTATAAGCTGGGTCAAGTCCACACTAATCTTTTAGCATACCCTTGGGTACTTATTGCCAAAAAAGTACACCGTGGAACGAAAAGAAAGAGGGCTGGCTGTTCAGTCTCATGTATCATTTAAATAAAACTTGTCAAAGAAATTTCATGTGTGATAACTAAGTGTTATCTGTTCCTTTAAATGTGTGATTTACAATTTAAACATTGATTAAGAAAAGAGCAGGAAAGAGAGTCGTGTCAAGAGCTACTTCCTTGAATGATTGCAGGGAGCCCCGACGTGAGGACTTCCAAATAGAGAACTGGAACATAGTTTCTAGTTTGGGACCATTTGGTTCGAGGACTAGTTATTTAGGGATTGAAATACGGAATTGGTTGTTCGGTGAATGATAATTTTGAGATTGTTATGTGATGAAATATTAACAAGGACTGTTGTGCAGTTGTAATGCCGAAGTGAAGAATTAACTTTGTCACAGTATTGCTGATACACGTCTTATTCCATGTCTATCGAGTATAAAGTAAAACATAGATTCCCGTATACATTATACAGGAGATCAAATACTAACTTATTAATGCAGTGTGCTAATAATCCAAATTTTATACCAGAAATCAAATAATGCATAATGCTGAGTTTTATACGTAGATTACTTTTTATAGTGCAATCAAGTGAGCCCTGAGTGTCTAGCAGGGTGACATGATGGTCCCAAATGGGTAAGAAATATCAAAGCTCAAAAGACTTTTGCGGAAAGGCCAAAACTGGGTGGATGTCTAAAACATGTTCGAGTGTCCAAGTAGTGTCACACGAGCATTCGTGTAGGATTTTAGTAAGACCCAAACGCCCAGCTTAAATTTTGGTAATCTGGATCCTAGGTTGCGCTTTACTCTTCTTATGTAAGTAGCTGGATGTACTGATATTCCAATGTAATTGTGACATCATCACCTGTTCAACGTATTTTTCCAGTAGTTGCTATTGGCATTTTTCTCATATATAGGGTCAGAGTTAATATTTTTAAAAATTAAGAATGAACCCTTTCCATTCTCCTTGATAGGGATGTATAAAGTGAAGTTACATGCTTAGCTATTTCGTTTAGAACATGTAACCCATGTTCAAGAATAGGTTTTTTTTTTTTTGATAGCTAACCCTTGTTACTGAAATTCCTTGACATTTAAACAGCAGAGTGATTCACTAAATAACTCACAAAACCCCCATCATCGCCAGCATTCTTCATCTATGCTTTCTTTCTACACCAAAAGAGTTAATTATCTCTTACTTTTGTGGACTTCCTCTTGCCTCAGCACCCAAGTTCCAATCTTTGAAGACATGTAGTCTTCTTTTTCTTGAATTCCTCTGTGAATACAAGATTAGCTGGATAATGCCGTTTCCCTGGGAAGTATAAGATAACAATTCTTCAGAAACCTAAACACTAGTTTTGCATAGTTTATGAAGTGCTAAAGCATAAAGTTTATAGCTGCACAGTTTAACAAAACCAAAATTGAATTTGTGATCTCGTGGTTTGTTAATTTTATTTTGTAATATGACATTATCTTTGATCAATTCCATCAGAAATTCCTGGAATACGATTTTCTTATGGAGAAACTATCTCACCAAGCTCCAATATATATTGTTATGGAAGGGAGTGAACCGCCTTTCTTCACTCGTCATTTCAGTTGGGACTCCATTAAATCTGCTGTAAGTGTCTTAATGATGTTTTCATATGATTTCTGACGCTAATTTTTGCTAATAGAGAACACTTGGCAGATGCATGGGAACTCATTCCAAAGAAAGCTCACACTAGTGAAGAATGGGGGCCCTCCACCAATGGATGTAAGTTTCTTCCTATATGTACTTGCTGTCTTTCCTTTCCTGGAACTACAGTGGTAATGAATTACTATACGTTTCATTGTCCATGTTTGTTTTATTTTCTTCTTTTACCATCTGGCACTTTGTTAGTTCATATGACACTTTGTTCGTTGATTTATCCTTTCAAATTTGTTGTTGGGATTGCAAAAGTCAAAGCTGTTTTATCATTCTTATAAGATACGACTTATAGAATGCAAACTTTATTTCAAAGTCTACTTGAAGAGATGGCTTTTTCCCTTTGTATACATATATTTCTGGAAATAGAATCATCTTGCTCTTAGGCGCTTCCACGTGATTTTGGTGTCTTGTTTCTTCCCTGTATAGACTGCTGTCCCTTTTCTAATTTTTAGCGTTTGGGTGAGTTCTTTGAGTTGTTGTTGCCCTTCATGTAATGACTCCTCTATCTTCGTGCTGATTTTTCTAACTTTGCATGCTTTGCTTTATCAGAAACCTAAAAGGAGAACACCTGTGTCATATGGTGGAAGGTCTGCTGCCCCTGAAAAGTCACAGCGATCGAGGAGCGTATCTTTCAGCCCTGACCGAGTTCGTGTTAGGGGCAGGTCTCCTGCTTTTAACGCACTGGCAGCTACTTTTGAGAACCCAAATGCTAGAAATCTATCTACGCCTCCACCAATGGTGAGAAAGCTTTATCCAAAATCTGTGACTCCAGATTCAGCAAAATTGGCACCCAGATCAGCTGCTATTGCAGCATTAACAGCAAGTTTTGATAAACCTTTACCCGCCAAGGACGTCATAATACCTCGCTCTATCAAAGGTACAGTCTCTTTATCTTGGAACTAACAACTTCGTTTCTCCATATGAGAAAACTAAACCTCTTCAAATGATGAAGGGATCCCTGAGGCACCAAAATTGAGCACTGAAACCCTCACATCAAGTCCTCAGGCAAACTCAAAGGAGAACTCAGTTAATAGTACAACAGAGGAGGCTCCTAAACCTAAACCAGAAACAATACAGGAAGATGTGAAAGAGGGTGAAACTGAAGATGAGGAAGGACTTCCGATCTATCCTTATGACCGGCTTAAAACAACAGCAGCAGATCCTGTTACTGAAATTGATGTAACTAAGCGAGAGGTGCGTCTTCAGAAAGCTCCATTTGGAGGATAGTACATGATGCTTTAGTTGATTTTACTATGATNTTTTTTGATTTTACTATGATCCCCTTTTTTTTTTCCTTCCCTGCAGACTTACTTGTCTTCAGAAGAGTTCAGAGAGAAATTTGGGATGGCTAAGGATGCTTTCTACAAGTTACCCAAGTGGAAACAGAATAAGCTAAAAATGGCACTCCAGTTGTTCTGAGTGCATCCAGGCCTACTCTCTCCCAGGTTGCTGCAGCATAGACTGCGGATAGAAGAAAACATACTTAGAGAATTTTACAACCCTTCTCTATCAATTTTCGCCCATTCCAATTGCTTCCAGTTTTCTATAATTGGCTCATACAGCAACAAGGGACCAATTTCAACAGTGTTGAGGGACAGCGCCAGTGTAATTTTAGCTGCTACTGGTCCTATGTTTCGGAACTGAACAGGACTAAGGATCCCTTCTTTACTTCCAGTGATATTTTTGGGGGTTTCTTTTTGCTAATTTATTATAAGTTAGTTGCTTGATTCTTTTTGTTTGTTGTGAGTTTGCATTTTTTTACGCATCCTATTTCTTTTCCAATTTTTTTTATTTTTGGTTGGTTTTAGCCATCATTGATTTAATAGAAAACCTGGGGGTTTGCAAATGAAAACTCATTAGGCTGTGACGCGAGGTTGTGTACAGTGTGTAACCACTCCACTTGTTATTTGTTTAGTAAATGGAAGTCTTGATTGGTTTTCCCTAATTCCTAGTTTCTCTGCAGTGTTGGGATTGTTTAATTTCTGTAAGTCTGGCTGTTGATTCTTTTTCCCATTTAATAACAATCAAATCTTCACTCTGTTAAAATTTTGTGAATTCCATCAATAAGTCTGATTATAATGTTACATCAGATATATCGATATACTTTTGTTTCTTTTTGTGATTGCAAATCTAGATTCATCTTCTTTTTTCTGTAGTGGCTTGAGGCAATTCTGAGACCCATGTTCCTGAATACAAGGCATTGACGGAAACTTGTATGCTTAATAGATGCTGGGAGTTAGGAATACTAGCGTCTGGCAGATATAAATATATAATAGTGGTAGATGCGAACTTTGTTTTGGCACTACCATCTCAAATTGACAGAGAAAAAAACTAGGACAACCAGCTGAAGGAAACAGAAAAATCTGATGCTAAACTAAGTTCTAAAAAAGCACATCTTTTCGTTTGCTATTCATTTGATTTCTTTTTATCCTTATCATCTACCCAAATAACAGCAGGAGTGGTGTGTTTTTTATAATCCTATTCGAACATCATTCCTTCGCATATTCAGGAACATATCCCACAATTGAGATATCTGATATTCATAGCAATGTATTATGCTTCTCTTACAACACACAGCATCTGCTACATATCTGCCTCCCCCTTTTCCGCAGATTATCTTAGTCAATAGCTGAAGCAACTTCAATTTATGAGGAGAACAACAGCTTTGACTATTCACCTGCATTATTTGTATCTGATAATATTCCTCTTGTGCTTATAAAAGAATAAAGAATGTCTTTTATATATATATATATTACCACTAGACACTCTGCCTACTGGCTAATTTTATTAATAACATCAAAATCCAAATAATGTCTTACAATTTATTTTAAAAAAAAAAGAACTTGCGAAAATAACTAAGGCTAGGATCAATTTCAAGCTACTGCGTAACTCAAACTTGACATTACAGCTATCTAACCTAACTAACTTAACATAAATCTGCAGAAACTCAAAACTGGTACTCCTTTGTCATTTGCACTGGACGTCCCCAACCTATCCATAGTAATGCACTCATGAATAAGCTTCCTTCCGTATCTGGCGATAGAATTGTAACAAGTGCTATCGTAAACTGTCATGACATAAAACACTATAGAGCTCATCCTGCAATAATCCTTCTTGTTTTGATTATGAAGTTTGGGACTTGAGCCTTATCCAGGTTCAAGATTTTGCGAGCTTGGGATGGAAGTCCTGCAAAAGAATGGAATTGCACCAGTCCATCAACTTCAAATGCATGATTAGCCAAGAAATCTGCCAATGCATTACCTTCCCTATAACAATGAATATGCTGCACCTGACATAGTTGCATATACATCTGAATATCTTCCACAGTAGAAGCTGTAGACCATGGAGTTGTTTACTCGTAAAACGGTACAGTTGAATTTGTAACGTCGTTTATACATACGTGATTAATTTGATCCAAGAATATAAAATAACCAAGAACAGAAATAAATTGAATAAAGGAACTTGAAGAAAATACAAGCCTGACTGTGAGACGAGCTTCCCTGGAAGCAAGAATAAAGACAATATGTAAAACAAGAAGAGAGAATATTGTTAACATAATAAGAGCAATTTTATTTTTTTGCGTACAGATGTTTCGTGTCCTACAATGAATACAAGTTCTATTTAGCTCAATTCAAGGAGACAAGATCCCCAAATCAAGCTCTTCTTTAATATGAATAAAACTCCTCTTGATGACTGCATAACATTTGAGTATAAATGCAAAGATTTTTTGTAACGGCTTCTCATTGAATGCTGCCCTTTCCATCCGATATCTTCCTTTCAAACTTTCTCCCCGGTTCCAGCGTCTTCAGAACTCACTCAACACCGGTTACATGTTCATAATCGGCGCTAGCTATTTGCTGACTCATATCTTATTTGTCTTCACTGCCATGTGTCAACTTGACGAACATCCACTTGTCATTTATCGATTTTACCCCATACAGATAGTCCCCCTACTTTCCGGTGACTAAACTTTATATTACCAGGAAGTAGATAAGACCTCTTTTCTTGGCAAAAAAATTCTTGAACGATTTCTGACACTTGAAAGGACGCACGTTTCCTTGCATTTAATGAGCCGAACATGTGTTATCCCGTAATTCGGTAAATATTTTCGCCATTTTCCTAGGTAATGATGACCATAAATTTTGCCGCCTATAAACTCCTTCACTTCTCATCATTTTTACCTTTCACTTTTACAAACTTTTCTTCTTCGAATTTTCTTAAAGCTTTTCTGCAGACTCTCTTTCTAAGTAAAATTTTCTTACTCAAATTTTCCATCATCATGCCTTCTTCTACCTCTTCCCCCGGTAACTCAGGCATTTACATCGGTGGTAGCCCTTCTAAGAAGAACAAAACCAAGGAAGCTGATGTCGGTCTTCCTACTACCAACACAATCATTCCCTCTCAATTAAATTTAAGGACAGATCTTCAAGTACAAAAGGAACCTCCTAACCCTAAAAATGACAGAAATTAGCTAGTCAGCAGATATACTTCTTCTATTAGTCCTACTAGTATCCCTGTCCTGAAGGAAGACTATGACTAGCAAAATATTAAAGTTTTAGCCCCTAATGAAGTGGAAAGGGTCACCTTCAGCAAACAAGGGTTCATGTACATTTATACATACTCTTCACTTTAAGAATGGGCCGAGAAATTGATCCCATTATTTTAAAGTTTTGCAAGAACTACCAAGTCTGTTTGGCTCCGGTAGTCCCGTTAATATGGAGAACTGTGGCGTGCCTTCGGGTACTATGCTCCTGGGCCGGTAAAACCCTCACTCTTGCTCATCTGATCGACCTCTACTCCCCAAATATTTTCCGAGAAGGCATGATCAAACTTAGTAAATGCGGCCACCATGCCATGGTCACCGTGTAGATGATGATAATGACCGTGGTTGGATAAAGAGGTTCGTTATCATTGCTATCAGGGATATTCTACCGGCAACAATACATCTTATCCCTGAATCCTGAAACTTTACTCATAATTTTTTTCAAATTTCCTTCTTCTACTTCATTAAAGAAAATTCTCTCCTCTGCTAACTCTCCCTTCTTCTATTTCAGCTACCCATTGGATTCCTACAATGGTTTAGAACATAACCCAATGAGTACAAAAAATCTTGGATGTTTTCACAACGGACTCCCGTAAGTGGAAAGAAATTTCACCCAAATTCAATTCAAAGGCCAAGAACCATGGTAAGTAAAACTTCTTTCCTTTTCAATCTCCATCATGACATATTACAAATTTGTTGACTCCCTTTCATAATACACATGCCTTTCGACGGGGTCTTCTGTCTGCTCTGCTGTTGAGGTTTCCTATGACCTAATGGTGGCTCATCAACAAATTCGAGCAGCCATTGACCGGAAGAGGGTTCGCGATGCTACTATTTTAGGTGAAGGCCCATCTTCCGTAAGTCCCCAGCCCAAGGAGAAAAAACCAAAAATAAGACGTACCTCGAAAGTTGAGACTTAAGAGAAGCCTTTGACAAAAGAAACCCTAGCTGGACCGACCATAGTGGTCTATGATGAAGACAAAACTGAGGATGATCATGAAATGGTTTCTCTTCAAAGAAAAAGAAGAAAGACTTCCCTTGCTCAATCGGAAGGAATTCGAGGACTCTTTACTAAAATGGAAATAATTTGAAATCGCAGAATCTCGTTTCCGGGCTCTAGTTGTTGCTTCCGATTAGAGGGGTTCCACCTTTGATATTCTTCCACCTCCTTCTCCAAGCCGGTAGGAGTTGCCAACTACTTAAAGCCTTTGGCTTCAAACAAAGACAGGCGGAAGATGGAGGCTCTTTCTGCGGAGTGTCTGATCAATAACAACATGCACTTTGCTTCTCAGGTATCATCTTACTCTTCTTTCTTCCATTTGCTAAACATTAACCTCAATAATTTTAATTTTTGACTTTTCAGGCTAACCTCCTTGCCTTTGAGGGCTTGCAAAAGACGATCCAAGTTAAAGAAGAACTTGCTCCCGAGCGGGATCAAAGTGCTGCCAGACGAGATCAACTTGCTGAGCGCCTCCCGAATTTAGAAGCTAGACTTGCTCAAATGGGCGAACTCGAAGCCCGATTGGAGCAGTCTGAGTAAGAAAAAGCGATTCATAGCCAAGAGGCAACTTAGTTGCATACAAAGCTTTTTGAGTTGAAAGTCAAGTGGGCTGAGCTGTAGGATACTATAACTGTAGATGTCGAACGTTAGTTTGCTTCCACGAAACAAATCAATAACCTGGAAGCACACTTACATTCCAAAACTGATGAGGCTCTGTAGCCTAGGAGAAGAGAGCTAGGATGGAGGGAAGGCTCAAAAGGGCCATGAAGCAAAATCGCGAACATGCGAGGACAAATATTGATCTTTGCGGGACCTATGACATCATGAGATTTGAAAATGACCAGCTGCAGTCCAAAATCAAAAAGCTTAAAGCCAAACTCCTGGACCAAGAATATTCTTTCCTCCTTAATAAAACTCATGCGATTTATCATGTGAGGAGGAAAACTTTGGATAAAGCCAAAGAAGGCATTTCAAACATGGACGACTGCATTGTTGAGGCTCTTGAATTGGAGACAACCGCCTTCGAGAACATTCATGCTCGGCCCACTGCTTTAAGCTCCTCGAGCACTTGTTTTGATCCTCAAAAACCAAGGAGGAAGCTGAAGAAGAGGATAAAGATAAGGATGAAGGTACTAAACCGGATGCGGAACATCCTTCATCTTCAAAAGATGCAGTGGAGACTTCTCATCCTTTGGACTCTGCTGATAAAACCAACTGATGTATTTTTTTTGTTGTGACTATGCCGAAACTTCTATTGAGTTTGGCATTTTGACAAATAAAAGACATCTTTTGCTTAATTTTTGTGCAAAAATATCTTTTTCCATTTGATAAAGTTCAATTTTTTTTACATCCGATAACTTTAATTCCGGGCATTCATACTTCCGTTTTTACCCTTTAACTA